ATTCTTATTTAAAATTATTTTTCCTCATTATCATTTTTGTCATTATTATTTCTATTATTATTATTATTATTATTATTATTATTATTATTATTATTATCATTATGATTATTATCATCATTATTTTTTATTGTTATTGTCCTTATTATGACTATTGTAATTATTACTATTAGTAACACTACTATTATTATCATTATCATTAGTAATATTACTATTAATATCATCATTACTATTATTATTATTACCTACTATTACTATTATTTTATACTATTATCGTTATCTCTATTATCTCTGTTATCTCATTATCATCATTACCACGATTATTATTATTATCATTACCATTATCATCATCATTATCATTATCATTGCCATCATCCATATCATCATAATTATTATCATTATCATTCTTATTATCATTATCATTTATATCTTTATAAGTATCCTTATTGTTATTACTATTAACATTATTATCTATCTATCTATCTATATCTATCTATCTATCTATCTATCTATCTATCTATCTATCTATCTATCTATCTATCTATCTATCTATCTATCTATCTATCTATCTATCTATCTATCTATCTATCTATCTATCTATCTATCTGTCTATCTATCTATCTATCTATCTATCTATCTATCTGTCTATCTATCTATCTATCTATCTATCTATCTATCTATCACCTATCTATCTGTCTGTCTATTTATCTATCTATCTATCTGTCTGTGTATCTATCTATTTATCTATCTATCTGTCTATCTATTTATCTATCTATCTATCTATCTATCTGTCTATCTATCTGTGTATCTATCTATTTATCTATCTATCTGTCTATCTATCTGTGTATCTATCTATTTATCTATCTATCTGTCTATCTATCTGTCTATCTATCTGTCTATCTATCTGTCTGTCTATCTATCTATATATCTGTCTATCCATCTATCTATCTATCTACTTATCTATCAATCTATCCATCTATCTATCTGTAAATCTACCTACCTATGTATCTATCTGTCTATCTATCTTGTATATCTATTTATCTATCTATCTATCTATCTATCTATCTATCTCTATCTCTCTATCTATCTGTCTATCTATCT